ACACACACACACACACACACCCACACACACACCACACACACACACACCACACACACACACACACACACACACACACACACACACCACATGCACACACCAGCGGAGCAGCCGGCGGCCCACGGGAGACGTGACGGCGGGGGCTGATAATGCGATCAACTTGCAAAGCGAGCCAAATATAGCGCGACGTGGTATGAGCATGTCATGAGCAAAACAGAATGCAAAACACTTTGGTTACATAACCTGGGAAAGTTGTGGGCTTTTGCGGGCGCAGTGTTCTTACAAGACACCATGGGGGATACTTCCCGGGAGTTTTTTTGTTCGTGTACACATCCTTCATGATGTGTGGAGGCGTGCCAGCATGGCATACCCTCTGCTGGATGTACCTAAAGGCGCCTCATCATGTGCGCTCACTCCCTGCTTCGTTGCGCGCCGCGGCCGCCTCTGCCAGTTCGTGCCGTGCGGCCGGGTGTCTCGGGCAGCGCGCGTGACCAGCGGTCGTCCCTCGGGCCGCCCTGACATGGCCGGGCTGCGCGCCGCTCCATCCTCCGGCCGGAGAAGCTGCACCAGATGTGGCGGGCGTGCTCGTGACCCCACGCAGAGGCCGCGTCGGCCCCGCTCGCCGGACCCCGCCCGTGACTGTGGCCGGGGTGAGTCCCTGGGACACACACCGGCCGTCGGACCCGGCCGGGGTGTCTGAGTCCCTGGGTCTGGGTGTCCCTGGGACACACACCGGCCGTCGGACCCGGCCGGGGTGTCTGAGTCCCTGAGTCCGAGAGTCCCTGGGACACACACCGGCTGCCGGGCCGGGCCAGAGTCCCTGAGCCCCTGAATCCGGGAGTTCCTGGGACACACACCGGCCACCGGACCGGACTAGCGTCTCTGAGTCCCAGAGTCCGGGAGTCCCTGGGACACACACCGGCCGCCGGACCGGACTAGCGTCTCTGAGTCCCAGAGTCCGGGAGACCCTGGAACACACACCGGCCGCCGGACCGGACCGGAGTCTTTGAGCCCCTGAGTTCAGGAGTCCCTGGGACACACACCAGCCGTCAGACCGAGCCGCCGCGGCCGTCGGTCACGCCTCACCGCAGACAGTGCGCTAACGAGGCGCGCACGTGACTCACCGGCGCCACGGTTGAGGCTGGGGGCGTTAGTGCGGAAGATCGGAGGCGGAGGGTCACGTGATGCCCCGTCCCGGCTGATTAACGGTATTGCCAAGGGACTGCAAGTCATCCAGGGAAGCCCATCAAAGAGGTGGGGGATGCTATCGGAGAAAGGGGCGATCGCCGGCTTCCCAGAACAACAGTAACTTTTGCAAGGTTGTCGAAGCGTCAGAGGGTACCATGCACCCGTGTGAGCTAATGCTTCCTACGGTCGTGACAACGCCAGCCGAGGCCCACAGATTACATGAGTCAGGACACATTTACTGCAGCCGTTTCCCAAGCTGTGCTCGATGACCCCGGCGTCTAAGAGCGCGGGCAGTTGAGACTGTTTCCGAAACGATCCCACAACATGGCCTGCAAGTTCGTGTGACACTGGGCCGACCTTGGCGGGCACGGCTGTTCGGAAAGGCGGCCATTGAGTGGGGTTCGCCGTGTTGGTTGTGCACACAAACTCATCCGCCATTTTGTCCTGTTTCTCGCTTTATCATGCGTCCCCGCTACGCCCGCTTGTTCGGGACAGCTTCATGTGCCAGCCATGAGAAGGCCGAAGTGCCCCCTGGCGGGAACCTCCGTTCGAGCGCCGGGCACATGCTCCGCAGAGGGCAAAGCCTCGGTGGGTTGGTCTCCACGTGCGTGTAGACTTGGCTCGCCGTTATCCATTCTCCTTTATCACATAGCCCTGAAATGGTCACGGCTGGCCGAAAGGGCTTTCATCCAAACAACCAAACCAAGCACACGAACGCCCCGGATCTGTGGGAGAGCGGGAAGTCATGGAACGCTTGGCGGTGGAAGCTTTTTGAATCGCCTGTTAGCCCAATTCGTACGATACAATGCCACGAGTCCAGTACTTTTTCTCCGGAGTTTGCGGGAGAAACGCCAGATTGATCGAAGTCGGGGAGGGGCGCTACCCCTGTCCTCACGACCCTATGATTTGTGTCGCGGCTCATTCCCGGGGGCATTGTGTGACATTGTGCTGAAATGTACCGGCGTCGAGCCGTCAACTCGGCGTATCAGCCGAGGACAGGTGGGAAGGGAAAACCGCCGAGACAGTAACAGCATTCTCTGATAAATACCTACACTCTCCCACCCCAACCGGACGCGTCGACTGTAACTGAACTTTGCTGCACCCTATGTACTGACCGCAGATGCATGAATCAGGCGTGCACTATGCGTGCTTCGCCTCGCTTGGTGTCACGCAGGCTTCGGGCATGGTCCTATTTCCCCGCAGCTGTGTCTCCCGCCAGCAAGGGGCGGAGCGCAGTGAAGCCATGTGTGGTGAGGCGGCCCTGTCTGACCGAGCGGCAAGGGCACCTCTGGCCGGCAGGTCCGGCTCGGTACCGGCTGCCGGGAGCGCCGTCCGGCCTCGGACGGTGCCCTCGCGTGGCTCCCACCGGTCGGTTGGTTAAGGTCAGGGTGCATGACTGCCGGGACGGCATAGAGTGGCGGACGCGGTCGGCTCTAAACAGTGAGCTCAAAGCTGTGCAGAAACAAGCAGACTTTTGACAGCATGCATTCTGGACAATGGACGCTGGGCGGGACAAGGCCTTGGACGCACGTATGGAAATGTGGGACGTGGACACTACACAGACGCAGCATCGATCATTGTGCATCGTACTAGACACTAACTTATTTATTAGTGCATTGCATGGCTGGCAATATAGCATTGCATGGCTGGCAATGTAGTATTGCGTGGCTGGCAATATAGATCGAGTGCAAGCACTGGACAATACTGGACTATCCGTGGGTGGTGTTGGTACCAACCGGTGCTGGTACCTCAGAGGTTGCGGCACAGGAATTCCTCATCGAACAATATCGACGGAGGAGAGCGCGAACACTAAACAGTAGAGACCGGAGAAAGCTATACACTTCAACCGAGCCCAGCCCAAAGCCCGAGCCCGACCCGAGCCCAGATCTGGATAACGTCGCCGCGGATGGCAGGCGCAGGAGAATGGACGGATCCGCCGGCCGATTTCCCTCACCAGCGTGGGAAGCCAGATGTTTGTGGCAACCCGCTATCAGTAATGAAACCTTCACGTTGCGGAATAGAACAAATGTGAGTCACCGATTTCGATCTTGACCACGAAGCGCCGCTGGTTCTTTTCCACGCGTCGGAAACTTCGGTGTTGCAATGTTACCTTCCTTAGAGGCAGTGACAGTTTGGACATCATAATGCAGTGGACGTTCTATTGCCGCAAATGCTTCTCAGAGATTTTGTGATACGGTGATATTCGGTGGCCAGGGCCTTTCGCCAGAAGTTTCGCAACAAAGAAAAACTGCTTTATTACCTCATTGTGTGCACAGTCGGTGGTGTGAAAAGATCATATCGATTTTGCCTTTGCTTACCAGACCCCGTGTGGTGTTCATTTCTACAACCAACGTTAGCGAAAACGACGAATCCTGGTTCTTTTAAACATGTCTTAGATTCAAGATTTGTGCAGGACAGGGACAGCCCCGCAATATGCCACCGACGAGCCCAGCCCGCCAGTGATGCGACACCTCAGCCCCACCAATCCGCGCAGCAGCAACGACGTACCTTCACAAGTAGAGCGTGCCGATCTTCTTCAGGTTGTTGTACTTGTTGTTGAGCAGGATGTTTGTGGCTGCGGGTGCGTGTAGACGCCCGGCTCGAGCCGCAGCTTCCGCTCGTGGTCGGCGATGATGCTCGGCTTGGCGAACATGTCCGGCGCCGGCTGGTGCAGGTCCCACACCAGGCTGGTCAGCGAGCGCGGCCGCGTCAGCTTGTTCGGCTTCGTCTCCAGCAGCCGGCTGCGGACGGCGGCCGAGCGCGACGAGTCGCCCGAGCCCTTGTCGCCCGACGTGCTCGAGTCGAGCGTGTCGAACGCCGCCACCAGGCTGATGAGCGACTTGTAGCGCATGTCGAACAGTGGCGGCGCGGCGGAACGGACCGCGTCCGGCAGCGGGCCGTGAACGCTGCCGCCCTTCGGCGCCGCGCCCGCCTTGTGTGCCGCGAACCGCTGGTTGGCGCGCGCGTTGCAGTTCTTGGTGAAGAGCTTGCCGGCCGGGCGGGTCTCCTCCGCCGGCGCCGGCCTCTGCGCGTGCTTAGCCGGGTCGCGGGTCGGCTTCTCGGCTGGCCGGGTGTCGGGCACCGGCGCCGCGGCCACCGCCGGCTTCGCCTTACCGGCCGTGAAGACTCCCGGGTGCAGGTTGAAGGGCCGCACGGCCGCCAGCGAGAGTCTCCGTGACGGGATCGTCTCGATGGGCGGCGGCACCGGCGGCTGGTCGGCTCGCGCCGTCGCCACCGCCGCCGCCGCTCCCGGCGCCGCCGCCGTAGCCGCCTTCGGCAGCGGCGCCAGGCCGCGCACGTAGTCGTAGATCTGGTCGATCTCATCGTACTCGTCGACTGTCTGGCCACTGTGACGGCGCGTCACGCGCGACATGGGCGCCGCCAGCGCGCGGCGCAGCCCCGAGCGGCCGCACCGCCGCCTTCTTGCCGTCGAGGCGCGGGTCACGTGCAGCGCCACGTCGAACGGCTGGATGCGGTCGGCTGAGTGCAGCCAGACCTGCGCGGCGCGGTCGCACAGACGGCCGAACTCGGCCGTGCGCGCCAGCTGCTGGCCGTTGACGGCCGCCTGCAGGCCGCAGCGGCGCCGTCGGCGGCATGGCCACCACCACGCTGTCCTTGTGCAGCGGCAGGCCGAGCACCAGCTCCTGCTCGAAGGTGGTGTGCAGCCGCAGCTCGGGCACCGCCAGCCGAGAGCCATCGGCCGGCCGACCGCTCACCAGCCCGAACGTTAAGCGGCAGCCGCTTGTTGAGCAGGTTGGCGACACTGTGCACGCCGCTGATGCTGCTCTCCTTGGCGACGGCGCTGAAGCGCGCCTTCAGCTCGTGCGGCAGGTAGACTTCTCGCCGCTGCTGTCGAAGCAGCGCAGGAAGCGGGCCGGCCCACGGCCGCGCGGCCGCACCACCTCGCCCACCAGCACGAGCGTCTCACCGCTCTGCAGCGTGCGCGTGCGCTCCGTGATCGTGTCCACGCTGTCCGACTTGGAGACGAAAGCCTTGCAGCTGCAGCGCACGATGCACGAGTCGGGGAAGAGACGCGCCAGCTCGGCCACGCCCTCGATGGCGCGCACCGAGCGGCCCTCCTCGCTCAGGATCTCGAACAGGCCGTCAAAGGTGTCCGGGATGAGCAGCTTCTGACCGACCGGCACCATGCGCCTGCTGTCCTTGAATTTGACGGCCTGGGCAAGCAGCCGGCGCCGGCGGCCGCCGGAGGTCAGCAGCAGTGTGCTGTGCACGCCGAGGCTGGAGAGGCCGCCCGGGCCCAGGCTCAGGTACTGGCCCTTCTGCACCTTCACCAGCAGCGGCAGCTCGTGGCGCTGCAGCAGTTCGGCCAGCGACGCCGCCTCGTCCGACCACGTGACCTGGCCCAGCAACGACGACGCGTCCGGGGTCATGGCGATGTCACGCCGCCGCGCGCTGGCTGACGGACGTCACTGGGATGGCGCCAGCTGGAAACGCAGCATGAAGACGGCGTTAATGGTGCTGCCCTGACGTCCGTATGGCGTTTGAGGTGGTTGGGAACAGAGCAATGTTTGTTCCACTCTTAAGAAGTCGCACAATTCCTCAATGTGAGGACGCAATTTTGGCATGATTGGGATATTTGTTTGGAAGATTTACACCAACCGTGATGTTCGCAATCGCAATTTCGGATTGTTACAATCGTTTTAGAGATCCCTATGCAAAATAAAGGAGATATCACCAACATTGTGACAAGCGGGGAAAGTGTGCGCCGCAGGTATGCTTGCTGTTGCGACACCAATTGCGATGACTGAGTCTAGTTAGAATCATAGCAACGTCCAGTTACTTTGGGCTTAGGTTCCAATGTAACAGGGTGTGGTCTAAATCCGAATTTAAGTTCGAACTCATGGCATACGGCTTATCACACTTATACCCGGTAAATGGCATGCCAGAATCCATCCAGACAACATACAAATTTATGTTTTGTCATACCCACGGAATATCAACACTAATGCGTCTCAGATCCAACGAGTACTGTGCATTTTAAATGGTTCGCACCGCAAAAATGTACACGAGCACACGTAACGTTAGATTATCTCCGTCGTCTCATAGCTAATGGCATCCAATGGACGGGGATCTAATCTGATTTTAACTTACACGAAGAGTTGCAAGAATCAGTTAAAATATAACCCTCCTAAGGTTTAGTTGATGTCAAGGATGAACCGGATTTCACTCGGAATCAAGCACAAAACTAAAGAGGTGCATCTCTGCCAAAACCCAGCCAACGACACCGCCCAACGACCCAAATACAGCGAAGGACCACGGCTGTTGTCGACGGACTCGGGCGAGTTTTGCCACCTGTGGATGAGGCTGACTCTCTCCCTGCAAACAGCGCCGCTTTCCCACGTAACAAGCGGCCGGATCGGCGGCGGCGCGGCGGCGCCTGCTCTCATTGGCCTCCATCGGGGGGGGGGGGGGGGGGGGGGGGGCGCTCACGGCCGGCCAGACATCTGGGTTACCAGTAAAACGGAAGGACGACGGTGGTCAGGCCTCCGCCGGCGCGGCGGAACGAAGCGCTCGGTCGGGCAGCCGGTGACGTCACGGCGGGATAATGGCTCGGCCCGTCGATCGATCACGCCGATCGGCCGCTGTTATGAGAGCAGACAAATGGCCAGCTGAATCGGACGTAAACACACGGACTCGTAACAGCGGGCAAGCCGCGGCGGGGACGGTGGAAGGAGAGGAAAAATGCTTGGAAGAAGGAAGAAAACCGAAGTTCGCTCACTTCTCATGAAAATGCATGCATGTGGTTGAAGGAGCCTCACTTTTGCAGGCAGGGGATCAATTGCGTCGTCAGTTCTTGCAGACACTTCGCAGACGCTATAAGGGATTAATTGCGTCTACAGCTACAACCTTAATCCTCCTGCGAACGGAACTAGTTCCATGCAAAACCAAAGTAAGCCAACGCCGCGGGCTTGCGCATGTTCTATCTACGTATCGCATGTGCCGTGTCCACGTTATTTATCGTGCCCATTGTCGTGCGAGATGCTTTCTCCCGTTTATGTGCATGCGGGAGTTGCGCGGGCGCAGACACCAACAACCACAATCCCATGCCAGGAGCCAACTCAAGTGTAGAATAGCGGGGTTAGGAAACCAGAGACCGTCCAATTTCCACACACCGAGAGACAAGGTGGCCAGATGCATGTCGTGGTCGTTGGCCAGTCCATGGTCAGCGTCGCGGTCGCGGAGAGTCGTCAGGAATCTCCAAGACTCGGCTACCGCGGCCGGTCAATGAATCGAGTGTAGGCATGTCCCCGCCCCGTCGCCGTCCAAACGAGGACAGGCACTGGTCCGAAACGGCGCCCGGCGCGCCACGTCCGCCGCGATCCGCACCCGTCGCCGGCCGCGCCCGTCCGGCTCAGCACCCAAACACGGAGGAGCCGTCTGTCTATCGGCAGGCGGATCAGTGGCCGGCGGGGGTCTGACGTCTGCCGTGCAGGGCGGGACGGGCGGCGGGCGGCGCCGCGTGATCGGGCCGCCCCCGGCGCCCGATACGCCAGCTCCGGGTGCCGGCCCGGCGGCAGCGCTGCTCCCAGAGCGCCCCGCCCGCCGGCGCCGTACCGGCAGCCAGTATGCATGGGAAAGCGCCCCCGGCCGGGGCGCGATCGCTTACCGATACGCCGCGCGGACCGGTCCCCACATTAACTGCAGATGTCTGCAGCCGGTCGGCGGCGCTACGGCGCGCCGCTTGATAGATGACCCCTCGCGGAGCGTGCATGCGGCGCCGCCATTTGCCAGGAATCCGCGCGTTCGGTCCTTTGTGGATCGGGGGGTGATTGGGGGCATAACCCGGCATCGCAGCCGCAGGCCGGCGTCATAACCCGGCATCGCCGCCGCGGGCCGGCTGCCGTCGCTGCCGGCTTTGTCTGCCGAAGTGGGGCGCCGGCGGCGGCGATCCCGAGAGGTGAGAGCAAGGCCAGGCGGTGACGGATTGCAGCAGCGATATGGCATCCCGGCCGGCTCCCACGGGCGCCGGGCACGGCAGACACGCCGCTAAACTATGCACTCCGGGCGGATGGTGGAGCAATGCAGTAATGCCGGGGAAGGATTCGCAAATTGCCAGGGTCAAGATGCCTCGGTGCCATACAATGAGTTTCTCCAGGCTATATGGCATACGAGAGCTGCGTATCTGGGCTCAGAAGGAACGTCAGGTATTCAGGTATTGAGGCGATTTGGGACCGTTTATGTGGATGCTTCAGCAAAGCATGCACTGTTATATGCTGTTCGTCAACTGTGTTACCTTGTCCTACTCCTCTCTGGGTCATGGTTACATTTGCACAGGGCACTTTCCTGCAAGAATCGACTGACCAATCTTCAGATCAGATTCACTACTGGTCATGTCCAAATCCGGGCTGACATTCCTCAACGTACGTCGGCTCAGATGTGCCCGGATTGCCTATTGCACCTATTGAAACAGTACAGTGCAGTGGGTCCCCATAGCGACATGAGACGGTGAAGCCTGCAACAACAGCAGTGACATGAGCCGCTAGCACTAAATCCTCCTCACCCGTTTTGTATCTACCCGTGCTTGTGACAAAAAGGGCTTCAGCCAACGTATCTTGAACAATTCGGACAGCAGCAGCCCTCGGTGGGTAGGTGGCGGCCTCCCTGACCGGGAGTGGGCGGCGGCCACCGCGAGCCGTTCCAGGTCGGTGGCGCTCGGCCACGGGGCCGCCGCACCGCAGCCGTGACCAGCCGCCGCCGCGGCCTTGGCCCGTGGGAACCCGCCGCCCGACCGTCAGCGGCGTTCACTCCAGCCCGGCTTTCCACGCGCCGGCGGCCGATCACGTTCCGCAGCCAGTTCCGGTGTGCCCTGCGTCGCTCGCTGTGGTGGAGCTGTTCTTGGAGTGGAGTCGAGTCCGCGTCCATTGCCGCAGCATGGATGCTGTTGTCGGCCAGCGCACAGGGACAGGTGGAGCGAAGGCCAGTGGCTCAGCACATTTCTCTTCCAATGCCGTTGTGACATCGTAAGACAGCGGCATTACCGAGGACTAAAACGCTACCCGACCCCCAGCCAGGCGGAGCGGGGTAAGGGAGGTGCGCTGTCGGGGACGGCCAGAGGTGCAACGGGAAGACCTACCCGGCGCCGCCGATCGAGAGAAGACCTGCCTGGCGCCGCCGATCGAGAGAAGACCCGCCCGGCGCCGCTGATGGAGAGAAGACCCACCCCGCGCCGCCGATCTACACGGGCTCGCCACGCACCAGCACAGTCCGACCGGCCACTGGCTGTCTCGTGACATCGTTCACGGCAGGGAAAGGCACTTCGTAGCACTTTCCCCCGGGGAAAAATCATGACATTCGTGAGGAACACGATCATGGCATTTTGCCGCATCATCTGACGTTTTACAAGCGTGCCGGTCTGCAATGGTGCTAGCCTTGCGTGGCCGGATTCCTCTCCATGTGGAGTTAGGCCGAGTGCGACTCCAAATACAGATTCAGAATCAGACACAGAGCAGAGCAAGACCACGGCAAGTTACATAAACAGATCAGGGTCAGATACAGAGCCGAACCCAAGCCTGACAGCATGCCAGGGTCAGACACGAAACCAAACCAGGGCCAAATACATAGTCGGGCCAGGATCATACGCCGTGGAGCCAGCCGCAGCCAAAATACAGAGCTGAACCAGGACGAGCTTCAGTATCAGACCAGGAAAGTTATAAAGCCAGACTAAGACGAAGCCACCCAAGGTACAGAGCTAACCCGGGGCAGATACAGATCCAGATCACGGTCAGACATGAAGCCGGACCGGAATCGGATCCAGGCCGGGACCACGGCCAGCTACAAAGCCACATCTGGACCTCAGACACGTAACCGTCCTCCAGCCGGACCGCAGCCGGGCCACAGAGACGGCGGCGTCAGCTGACCCGCGCGGCGCCGACCGAGCGGCGGCGGCCGGCGCACAGTTAGCCGCGCTGCATCCCGTATTCCAGACGACCGCTGCAGCCCAGGGTGATAATGGATGGAGCCGGCGGCGGCGGCGGCGGCTGGATTCCGAACGACCGTGCGCCGGCGCGGTCGCCGCCGCCAGCTGGCTGAAGGTCAACGCTCGGAAGCGGTGCAGGGCGGGGACCAGCGGGGACGTCGCGCCGGGCGCCGCCGGCGCCCGCCGCCGACTGTCCACCGTGTGGACGTCCCAGCGGCGGTGGAAAGCCCGCTGCGGGCGCTGGCCGTGTGTCCCTCCGCGGCAACGCTGGTGCACCCTGGAGTGTAGGCACGAGCACAGCAGTGGATAGGTGGGTCACGCCTTTATTTATAGTCAATACTCTCCATGCAACAACATGGAGCGACGAAGGCAGGACGTGTCGACGGCCGACGATGACGGGACGTGTCAACGGCCGACGATGACAGGACGTGTCGACAGTTAGCAATGACAGGACGTGTCGACAGCTGACGATGACAGGACGAGTCGACAGTTGACGATGACAAGACG